TGCACGACCTATAGCTTTTGTAGGTCTCGAGATGAAAAACCGGTATAGACGCAGAACGTACACACAGACACATATACACACAAACATATACACACAAACTTAAGCTACATGTCTGCACGACCCCATCTCACGCGGTACCCACGTACAGGCTCGCCAAATTTTTTTCGGGTAAGTTGCTAAATCGGGAACCTGAAAAGCCAGAAGACTAAAATTTTAAGGGGACATTTTCAAACAGCCCTGGTGATCAACCTCAATTCTCTCAGCAAGAAGCATTTGTCAGAAAAACCGGTGCCGGAAGCGACAAAAACTGTGGAGAACTATGCAAAAAACGCATCTTCGCACCGGTAGTCGGTGCGCTGGTCATTTATTACATAACTGTCCAAGCAAGAAGTAATGAGAAGTTGGAAGGAGTGCGAAGAAGTAATGAGGACGTAGCAAAATTACAGCACTCTGAACCTTTCTGTAATAAGGCCTCAATAACGAACATTATTCTGTCCATAACATTATCTATTTACCAAAGACATGGAACTCATTTTTTACATAGGATCAACTTTGAACGATGGTTTGATACCACGCAGCGACATCCACGTTAGCCGTTTCATAATACTCGAGCCAACTGTGCTCCTGGAATTCGCAATATGAAGTTTTCGGGGAAGTAACGTCAATGAATTAACCCTAAAAGTACGTATAAAATATCCTGGTAAAATCTCAGCTTCCTAGATTGTTGGTTTTCCGAAATCGCCACTTCGCTACAGTTATTTTGGACACGCTCTTGCGCATGACGCAAGCCCAGACCAAAAGTTAGTTTAGAAAAACAAGCACCCGTATGGATGGTAAATATTCTGAAAAGCCACACTATCTTTTCCACACTAATGCCCGAGTCAGCCAAATGCCAACGACGAAATTTGATCTCTCAATACGCGTGACGTAAGCGTACGTGATACCTGAATTTAAGATTTTGAGTTCGCATGAACAGAGTAAATCCCCACAAAATTTTAGCTTTCGGTAGTTTTTGAAATAGTTTTCGCCAAAACACTTCCTTCCTTCAGACGTTTGTACGTGAAATCTAGATGTCAGTGGCGTTGATTTTGAAAAAGAGGGTCGCACGCGGGATCAGAACACCACCCAAAAATTTTAGCTTCCTAGCTCCTCTAGTTGCGAGTTGAAAGTGGTGACAAAATTCACTGGCGCCTCTTTTTCCCCTCCTCCCTCCCGCCTCCCATAACCCTCTCCCCTTAAGAACACAAACAAAGATGGCCTTCTGATAATATGAATTTTTGCATTTGTAGAAATATGTAAGAACTTATTAAAACGTACCAAAAGTTCCTTATATTTTGGTCGAGCGCGGTAATCTTTGGTGAGACAACGACTAACAAAATCACAAAATAAGGGCGAGAAGCCTTCTTCGGTTTTGAGCTCTGGTGCCGGATCTGAGACAATTCGTGTCAGCACTTCGAATTCACTGTTGCATCCACGATACGGGTATTCACCTCTGGCGAGTTCAACCAGCGAAATTCCAACACTCCACACATCCGCTCGAATATCATACTCGTGCTGTGCATCGAGGCGCTCAGGCTGCAAGCAGCAATAGTGCCCAGCACAAAATGCCACCATTTTCTAGTTGTGCACTAAGCATTAATCGAACGGGCATCGA